GTTGGTCATGGGAGTTCTGTGTGCCAAGTTTGGTTCAATTCCATTATTGGTGGAGTTCAGAATGCTCTTTGATTGTAGGTGAACTGAAAATTCCAGGAACTACAAGTCCCAAATGACAATATCAATCACACATACCCCCCCCCCCACCCCACCAGTATTCAAATTTGGGTGTGTGCTAAATTTGGTCCACTGAATGAAAATATATCCTGCATATTAGATATTTACATGACGATTCATAACAGTAGCGAAATCACAGTTATGAATAGCAACGAAATATTATGGTTGGGGGTCACCACGACATAAGGAACTGCATTAGGAAGGTTGAGAACCACTGCTCTAGGACCAATTTGCTCCATTGGACAACTGAGGATACCAGAAAAGCTCTCATCCGGCATCACATGCCAAAGGAATCGATAGGAGAGTTCACAGTCAATCTACATTGTCACAGATCCTCCAAGTGGAAGCATAAACACTGTAGAATGGGCATGGGCAAACTTTGGCCCTCCCTCCAGGTGTTTTGGACTTCAACTCCCATAATTCCTACCAGCCGGTGGGAGCTGAAGTCCAAAACACTGGGAGGAGGCCAAAGTTTGCCCAGGCCTGCTGTAGAATGAATGCAGTTTGGCCCAACCTGAACTGCGACGGCTTATCATTTGATGAGACACCAGTTCTCTTCAGCAGAAAAGGCTCTAGATCAGTGTTTCTCAACCTGGGGGTCGGGACCCCTCGGAGGGTCACGAGGGGGTGTCAGAGGGGTCGCCAAAGACCATGAAAAAACACAGTATTTTCTATTAGTCATGGGGGTTCTGAGTGAGAAGTTTGGCCCAATTCTCTCGTTGGTGGGACTCAGAATGCTATTTGATTGTAGGAGAACTATAAATCCCAGCAACTACAATTCCCAAATGTCAAAGTCTATTTTCCCCAAACTCCACCAGTGTTCAGATTTGGGCATATTGAGTATTCAAAGCAAGTTTGGTCCAGATCCATCATTGTTTGAGTCCACAGTGCTCTCTGGATGTAGGTGAACTACAACTCCCAAACTCAAGATCAATTCCCAAATGTCAAAGACTATTTCCCCAAACTCCACCAGTGTTCGGATTTGGGCATATTGAGTATTCAAAGCAAGTTTGGTCCAGATCCATCATTGTTTGAGTCCACAGTGCTCTCTGGATGTAAGTGAACTACAACTCCCAAACTCAAGATCAATTTCCACCAGACCCTTCCAATATTTTCTATGGGTCATTGGAGTTCTGTGTGCCAAGTTTGGTTGAATTCCATCATTGGTGGAGTTCAGAATGCTCTTTGATTATAGGTGAACTATAAATCCCAGCAACTACAACTTCCAAATGACAAAATCAATCCCCTTGAACTCTTCAGTATTCAAATTTGGGCATATTGGGTATTTGTGCCAAATTTGGTCCAGTGAATGAAAATACATCCTGCATATCAGATATTTACATGATGATTCACAATCATAGGAAAATGACAGTTATGAAGTAGCAATGAAAATAATGTTATGGTTGAGGGTCACCACAACATGAAGAACCGTATTAAGGGGTCGTGGCATTAGGAAGGTTGAGAACCACTACTCTAGATCTTGCATAACCACAGCTAGCAGTAGTTAAAGTGATTTCAAACTGCATTCATTCTACAGTGTAGATGCACCCTATGGTGGCTGAACAACCAACCAAGAGAATATACATATAATACAAAAAATGGATTGTGGATTATCTTGCCTCCGGAGGAGAAAACAACAACAAACCTAGTGTGTAGTTCCCCCTTCAAAACGTAACTTTCCTGCTGTGTAGAAGAAAGTAACTTCTCCCAGGCTTCCCTGGGTCTACACTGAAGCAAGGCCCTATGCAGCAGGCTCTGTGTTTGGATCAAGACCAACAGGAACCATCTCATGCTTCTTGTGGGAAAAACAACAAACCTGGTGTGTAGTCCCTACTCAAAAACAGGTAACTTTCTTAGCACCTACATCACAAAGTAACTTTTCATAGCCCTGCCTGCAATAATAATAATAATAATAATAATAATAATAATAATCTTTATGTATACCCCACCAAACTCTCCCATAGGGACTCACAAAGCACACAGTGGTGCCATACAACATAAAATACAATGTACCAAAATACATAAATATCAAAATACAATATATCAACATTAAAAGCTCCTGGAGTTAGCAGGTCTCCAACTCCAGGAGGTTCGGCCTCTATCCCTTGGGACTGGGACCACTTAAAAATAAAGTAACTTCTCCCCCTAATTAAAAAGTAACTTCTCTCAGCTTTCCCCAGGTCTGCTTTGAAAAGCCATCTGAGAGGAAAAGCAACAAGAAATCCATGTCTTGGTGGATTTTAAGTGCTGTTTGTGTTAAATTCTGTTTTAATGTTTGTATATGTTAAAGTCAAGAGCCCCCCCCCCTTTTAAAAAAAAGTAAGTTTCCCTGGTGTGTAGAGCATCCACTTATGGAAAAAAGTAACTTCTCTCAGCTATTCAAGGCCCTGGTTCAGAGGACTCAGCCTTTCTCCTTGGGATTGGGGTCAGGAAGAGCCATATTTTGCCTCCTGGGGGGGAAATCATCAACAACCCTGGCATGTAGAGCATCCCCTCATAAAAAAGTAACTTCCCATAGCTCTTTTCTTCTGAGGAGAAACATTACAACAACCCTGGAGTGTAGAGCATCCCTTATCAAAAAATGTAACTCCTCCTAACTCTTGTAGAAAAAGTAACTTCTCCTATTTTCTTCTGAAGAGAAACACTACAACAACCTTGGTGTGTAGAACATCCTCTTATCAAAAAAAGTAACTCCTTCTAACTCTCATGGAAAAAGTAACTTCTATTTTCTTCCGAGAAGCACAACAACCTTGGCATGTTGAACATCCCCCTATCGAAAAAAAGTAACTCCTCTTAACTCTTATGGAAAAAGTAACTTCTCCTATTTTCTTCTGAGGAGAAACACTACAACAACCATGGTGTGTAGAGCATCCCCCTATGTAAAAAAGTAACTCCTCCCAACTCTTATGGAAAAAGTAACTTCCCCTGACTTATGGAAAAAAATATCTTCCCCTAACTCTTAATGGAGAAAGTAACTCCTAACTCTGATGGAAAAAAGTAACTTTCCCTGACTGTTAAGGAAAATGTAGCTTCCTCTCCCTCTAATGGAAAAAGAACCTTCCCTGACTTATGGAAAAAAGTAACTTCCACCGACTTATGGGGAAAGTAACTCCTAACTCTGATGGAAAAAGAACTTCTCCTTTTATGGAAAAAGTAACTTTCCCTGACTGTGATGAAAAATCTAGCTTCCTCTAACTCTAATGGAAAAAGTAACTTCCCCAGACTCTTATGAAAAAAAAAACTTCTCCTAACTTATGGAAAAAAAGTAACTTTCCCTGACTGTTATGGAAAATGTAGCTTCCTCCAACTTTAATGGAAAAAGTAACTTCCCCAGACTCTTATAAAAATGTCTCCTAATTCTTAGGGAAAAGTAACTTCCCCTCTAACTGTAATGGAGAAAGTACCTTCCCCAAACTAATGGAGAAAGTACCTTCCCCAAACTCTTATAAAAAGTAACATATAACTCTTATGAAAAAGTAACTTCTCCTAACTCTTAGGGAAAAAGTAATTTCCCTTAACTGTAATGGAGAAAGTAACTTCCCCAAACTCTTATAAAAAGTAACTTCCCCAAACTCTTATGGAGAAAGTACCTTCCCCAAACTCTTATAAAATGTAAATTCTAACTCTTATGAAAAAGTAATTTTTCCTAACTCTTAGGGAAAAAGCAACTTCTCTTAACTCTAATGGAGAAAGTAACTTCCCCAAACTCTTATAAAAAAGTAACTTCCCCAAACTTTTATAAAAAGTAAATTCTAACTCATATGAAAAAGTAATTTCTCTTAACTTTTAGGGAAAAAGTAACTTCCCTTAACTCTAATGGAGAAAGTAACTTCCCCAAATGCTTATAAAAAGTAACTTCTAACTTATGAAATAGTAACTTCTAACTCTTAGGGGAAAAGTAACTTCCTTTGACTCTAATGGAGAAAGTAACTTCCCCAAACTCTTAGGGAAAAAGTAGAGAAATGGAGAAAGTACCTTCCCCAAACTCTTAATAAAAAGTAACTTCTAACACTTATGAAATAGCAACTTTTCCTAACTGTTAGGGAAAAAGTAACTTTCCCAAACTCTAATAAAAAGTAGCTTCTAACACTTATGAAATAGTAACTTCTCCTAACTCTTAGGGAAAAAGTAAATTCCTTTAATTGTAATGGAGAAAGCAACTTCCCCAAACTCTTATAAAAAGTAACATATAGCCTCTTATGAAAAAGTAACTTCTCCTAACTCTTAGGGAAAAAGGAACTTCCCTTAACTCTAATGGAGAAAGTACCTTCCTCAAACTCTTATAAAAAGTAACTTCTAACTCTTATGAAAAAGTAACTTCTAACTCTTAGGGAAAAAGTAATTTCCTTTGACTCTTAATGGAGAAAGTACCTTCCCCAAATGCTTATAAAAAGTAACTTCTAATTCTTATGAAAAAGGAACTTCCCTTAACTCTAATAGAGAAAGTAACTTCCCTTAAATCTAATGGAGACAGCAACTTCCCCTAACTCTTATAAAAAGTAACTTCTAAGTTATGAAAAAGTAACTTCCCTTAACTCTAATGGAGAAAGCAACTTCCCCAAATGCTTATAAAAAGTAACTTCTAAGTTATGAAAAAGTAACTTCTCCTAACTGATGGAAAAAGTAACTTCTCCTAACTCTTATGAAAGAGTAACTCCTCCTAACTCTTGTGGGGAAAAGCTCTTTCCTTCTGAGGAGAAGCACAACATCAGCCCTGGCGTGTAGAGCATCCCTTCCCTCAGGAGAAAGAGAGAGGCAGCAGCTTTCCCCTCAGTTGAGAGAGACAGAGAGAGAGAGAGAGAGAAGGGCCTGGCCTGCCCTGAGGTGCCCGAGCGAGGCTGCTCCGGCCTCTCCTTCCTTCCTTCCTTCCTTCCTCCTCTCACCTCACACTCCCGGCTCAGCTTCCTGAAGAACTCCTCGTTCTCGAACTTGCTTCTCTGGTCGGGGACCACCCGAGGCATGGCGCATACCTCTCTCCTTCCTCCTCCTCCTCACACGCTCCTCCTTTCCTTCATATTACTACTCCTATTCCTAGCCAACTTCGCAGAGGTCCTCTCTCTTCGGCGCCTCTGAAGCGACTGACTAACTGAGGCGCTCTCGGGCTCCCGCTCGCTCTACGCGCATGCGCACAACGCGCTTTCCTTTCCACTACTAAGCGCTCCTCTCTCTTCGGCGCCTCTGGAGCGACTGACCGAAGCGCTCGCAAAATCCCTTCGCGCATGCGCACCCGACGCTCTCTTCTTCTCTCTCTCTCTCCCAACAGCCCCTCCCTCTTCGGCTCCGGCCAAACAGCGGCGCCATTCACAACTTCCAAGGCGAAACGGGAGGGGGAAATGGGCGGACCCCACTGCGCATGCGCCTTAAGGAAGCCAGGGCTACAAAGAGTTAAGGTGGAGTGAAATGTAAAACCAGCTGGGAATCAGGTTCTGCTCATAGAATCAAAGAGTTGGAAGAGACCTCATGGGCCATCCAGTCCAACCCCCTGCCAAGAAGCAGGAATATTGCATTCAAATCAACCCTGACAGATGGCCATCCAGCCTCTGTTTAAAAGCCTCCAAAGAAGGAGCCTCCACCACACTCGGGGCAGAGAGTTCCACTGCTGAACGGCTCTCACAGTCAGGAACTTCTTCCTCATGTTCATAGAATCATAGAATCAAGGAGTTGGAAGAGACCTCATGGGCCATCCAGTCCAACCCCATTCTGCCAAGAAGCAGGAATATTGCATTCAAATCACCCCTGACAGATGGCCATCCAGCCTCTGTTTAAAAGCTTCCAAAGAAGGAGCCTCCACCACACTCCGGGGCAGAGAGTTCCACTGCTGAACGGCTCTCACAGTCAGGAACTTCTTCCTCATGTTCATAGAATCAAAGAGTTGGAAGAGACCTCATGGGCCATCCCGTCCAACCCCATTCTGCCAAGAAGCAGGAATATTGCATTCAAATCACCCCTGACAGATGGCCATCCAGCCTCTGTTTAAAAGCTTCCAAAGAAGGAGCCTCCACCACACTCCGGGGCAGAGAGTTCCACTGCTGAACAGGCTCTCACAGTCAGGAAGTTCTTCCTCATGTTCAGATGGAATCTCCTCTCTTGTAGTTTGAAGCCATTGTTCCGCGTCCTAGTCTCCAAGGAAGCAGAAAACAAGCTTGCTCCCTCCTCCCTGTGGCTTCCTCTCACATATTTATACATGGCTATCATGTCTCCTCTCAGCCTTCTCTTCTTCAGGCTAAACATGCCCAGCTCCTTAAGCCCCTCCTCATAGGGCTTGTTCTCCAGACCCTTGATCATTTTAGTCGCTCTCCTCTGGACACATTCCAGCTTATCAATATCTCTCTTCAATTGTGGTGCCCAGAATTGGACACAATATTCCAGGTGTGGTCTAACCAAGGGAATAGAGGGGTAGCATGACTTCCCTGGATCTAGACACTATGCTCCTATTGATGCAGGCCAAAATCCCATTGGCTTTTTTTGCCGCCACATCACATTGTTGGCTCATGTTTAACTTGTTGTCCACGAGGACTCCAAGATCTTTTTCACACGTACTGCTCTCGAGCCAGGCATTGTCCCCCATTCTGTATCTTTGCATTTCGTTTTTCCTGCCAAAGTGGAGTCTCTTGCATTTGTCACTGTTGAACTTCATTTTTAAGGAAGTTAAGGATGGAGTGAATGGCCAACCTACACTTCCCAAGACTCCATATTGAAGCCATAGCAGTGAAATGGCACGAAACTATACACCCCAAGACCCCATAGCAGTGAAATGACAGCAAACTATACATCCTAAGATCCTATAGCTGTGAAATGGCACAAAACTACAAATCCCAAGACACTATATCATTAAACCATGGTAGTGAAATGGCACAAACTATAAATCCCAGATCCCATAAGAAATGGCACCAAACTATAAACCCATAAGATCCTATAAGAAATTGAACAAACTATAAATCCCAGGACCCCATATCCTTGAGCCATGGCAGTGAACCAACCTACACATCCCAAGACTCCATATTTAAGCCATGGCAGTGAAATGGCAGCAAACTAGACATCCCAAAACCCCATGGCAGTGAAATGGCACGAAACTATACATCCCAAGATCCCATAGCAGTGAAATGGCAGCTATGGGGTCTTGGGATGTATAGTTTGCTGCTATTTCACTGCCATGGGGTCTTGGGATGTATAGTTTGCTGCCATTTCACTGCCATGGGGTCTTGGGATGTCTAGTTTGCTGCCATTTCACTGCCATGGGGTCTTGGGATGTCTGGTTGGCTGCCATTTCACTGCCATGGGGTTTTGGGATGTCTAGTTTGCTGCCATTTCACTGCCATGGCTTAAATATGGAGTCTTGGGATGTGTAGGTTGGTTCACTGCCATGGCTCAAGGATATGGGGTCCTGGGATTTATAGTTTGTTCAATTTCTTATAGGATCTTATGGGTTTATAGTTTGGTGCCATTTCCTATGGGATACTGGGATTTATAGTTTGTGCCATTTCACTGCCATGGGGTCTTAGGATGTTTAGTTTGCTACCATTTACTGTCATGGGGTTTTGGGATTTATAGTTTGATGCCATTTCACTACCATGGCTCTATGATATAGGGTCTTGGGATTTGTAGTTTCGTGCCATTTCACTGCCATGGCTAAATGTGGAGACTTGGGATTTATAGTTTGCTGCCATTTCACTGGCATTGCTAAATATGGGATTTATAGTTTGGTACCATTTCACTGCCATGGCTCGAGGATATGGGGTCCTGGGATTTATAGTTTGTTCAATTTCTTATGGGATCTTATGGGTTTATAGTTTGGTGCTAATTCTTATGGGATCCTGGGATTTATAGTTTGTGCCATCTCACTGCCATGGCTCAAGGGCCATGGGATTTTGGGGGTTTATAGTTTGGTATCATTTCACTGCCCCTTTTCTTTCTGCAAAGGAGGCTCAAACTTAAAGTAGCGCTAAACTGCATTTCCTCTCCAGTGTAGATACAACTGAAAAGGAGCCCAATGTGGGTCAAGGATGCTTATTCTGGAGTCAAAAGGGAATGGATGCAAAGGGGGAGCCGGATGGGAAAGTGCCCCTGCTCTCTTTGTTTTGGTTGCAGATAAAGCAGGGCAGAGTTGAGTCACTCCAGCCCCACGCTTCGGCACAGACTCGCAGCATGCCTTCTCACACTCGCACAGACTCACAAAAGCCGCTTCGTCTGGTTGGTTTCCGGCTTCCTGCTCGAGGCCGAACAGAGCTGCAAGAGTTTCTCAGCTCCGCATCATCGCTACTGTTAGGCTACCAAGACAGCAGAAATGCACTCAATATGCAGTGGCGTATCTGGTGCATTTTACACCCATGTTTATCAAACAATATCTGGTTCCTTTGGCACCCGTGTTCGTCATGCAAAATCTGACGCACTTTGCACCCGTGGTCATCATGCAATATCTGGTGCATTTGGCAGCCACGTTCATTGTGCAATATCTAGTGCATTTTTGCACCCACGTTCATCATGCAATGTCTGGTACATTTTGCACTTACATTCATCATAGAATAGCTGGTGAATTTGGCGGCTGTCTTCTTCATGCTATATCTGGTGCATTTGGCAGCTGTCTTCCTCATGCAATATCTGGTGCACTTTGCACCCGTGTTCGTCATGCAATATCTGGCGCACCTTGCACCCATGTTCGTCATGCAATATCTGGTTCATTATTGCACCTGTGTTTGTCATGCAATATCTGTTGTATGTTTGCACCTGTGTTCACCATGCAATATCTGACACATGTTTGCACTTGTGTTTGTCATGCAATATCTGGTGCATTCGGCACCCACGTTCATTGTGCAATATCTGGTGCATTTTTGCACCCGTGTTTGTTGTGCAATATCTGGTGCATTTGGCACCCATGTTCGTTATGCAATATCTGGTGCATTTTTGCACCCACATTCATCATGCAATATCTGGTACATTTTGCACTCGTGTTCATCATAGAATATCTGGTGAATTTGGCGGCCGTCTTCTTCATGCAATATCTGGTGCATTTGGCAGCTGTCTTCCTCATGCAATATCTGGTGCACTTTGCACCCGTGTTCATCATGCAATATCTGGTGCATTTGGCACCCATGTTCGTCATGCAATATCTGGTGCATTTGGCACCCATGTTCGTCATGCAATATCAGGTTCATTTTTGCACCCATGTTCATCATGAAATATCAGGTGCATTTGGCACCTATGTTCGTCATGCAATATCTGGTGCATTTGGCTTCCACTTCATTGTGCAATATCTGGTGCATTTTTGCACCCACGTTCATCATGCAATATCTGGTACATTTTGCACTTGTGTTCATCATAGAATAGCTGGTGAATTTGGCGGCCGTCTTCTTCATGCAATATCTGGTGCATTTGGCAGCTGTCTTCCTCCTGCAATATCTGGTGCACTTTGCACCCGTGTTCATCATGCAATATCTGGTGCATTTGGCACCCATGTTCGTCATGCAATATCAGGTTCATTTTTGCACCCATGTTCATCATGAAATATCAGGTGCATTTGGCACCTATGTTCGTCATGCAATATCTGGTGCATTTGGCTTCCACTTCATTGTGCAATATCTGGTGCATTTTTGCACCCACGTTCATCATGCAATATCTGGTACATTTTGCACTTGTGTTCATCATAGGATAGCTGGTGAATTTGGCGGCCGTCTTCTTCATGCAATATCTGGTGCATTTGGCAGCTGTCTTCCTCCTGCAATATCTGGTGCACTTTGCACCCGTGTTCATCATGCAATATCTGGTGCATTTGGCACCCATGTTCGTTATGCAATATCTGGCGCATTTGGCACCCATGTTCGTCATGCAATATCAGGTTCATTTTTGCACCCATGTTCATCATGAAATATCAGGTGCATTTGGCACCTATGTTCGTCATGCAATATCAGGTGCATTTGGCACTCATGTTCATCATACAATATCTGGTGCATTTTTGCACCCACATTCATCATGCCATATCTGGTACATTTTGCACTTGTGTTCACCATAGAATATCTGGTGAATTTGACATCTGTCTTCTTCATGCAATATCTGGTGCACTTTGCACCCATGTTCATCATGCAATATATGGTGCATTTGGCAGCCATCTTCTTCATGCACTATCTAATGCATTTGGCACCTGTGT